AAGACCCTGTTTTTTCAGCACAGCCTCTGGTTTAAGTTAAAACTCGTAATGCAGATGATAAATTACAGCACGAAAGCTCAAAAGTCTCCACTTCTGACACCTGTACTGCTAATTAGTAAAAATACATTTTTACATATCCAGACTTCCATTTCAATATTCAGAGGCGATGTATAGTTTCAGTGCCCTGAGCAAATCTGGATATGTGACCGGGGCTTAGATGCCACATTTTATACCCCATTATATTGCATTTTATTCCTACAGCTCTAAAGCAAGTCTGCTCAAAGAAGGTCCAATTAAAAACCAAATCGTCAGAACTGTGAGGATATTACCGTCAAACATCAGCTCCATCACAGTTGTAAGAATGATGGCCACCACCCACTGAGCCCCCGCTGTTTCCAAGTGCCATGTGAGATGCCTGATGGATGCTGTCTCCTCTCGGGCAAACCTTGGCCTCTGGAGGGACAGTGCCTCCGACCGTCCCACCACTAGAACACAGCAGAATTGGATTTCTTCCCAAGTCTCTGACTAGCACTCACACTTTCCCCCTCTGCATCCCAGGCTTTTGTTATGCCAATTTCCAAACAGAATTTAACAACCCAAACAAAATAATTTGGACTAATTGCAATATTAGACTTTGTATTTTCTTTTAAATCATACTGATACACAGGCTCACCTCAGAGATATTGCAGGTTTGGTTCCAGACCACCACAGTAAAGCAAGTCACACACATTTGTTGGTTTCCCAATGCATATAAAAGTTATAGTTACACTATACTGTAGTCTGTTAAATGTGCAATAACATTATGTCTAAAAAAATAATTTACACACCTTAATTTAAAAACACTTTATTGCTGAAAAATGCTAACCATCATCTGACAGTGCAAGGTTGCCACAAACCTTCAATTTGTAAAAAAATGCAGTATCTGCGAACCACAATAAATGAAAGCACCACAAAACAAGGCATGCCTGGATCATTTTTCTCAACTGGCATTTTTACAAAGACAGTTTACCCCTATGGCTTACTCATTCCCTGTGAAAGGTGCTGATGTTCTTTGAGTTTCCAAGGGTAACCTGCCCACCTCTGATTCCCTCTAACACCCCAGGACAGATGCCCCGATGGGCTGCAGCTGAGGAGGACATTTGACGCCCCCCCATCTTCCTCCTTTACCTGAGGTGAGCCTAGAGGTGCCCGAGGCTGGTAAAGTTTTGATAACAGACTTCTCTCACTTTGTGTTCCTGTTCTGTTCAGCTGGTGTTGAAATGCCAGTGATTCCTTCCCAGACATCTCTGGTGGAAATTTACCACATAGCATAAACCACTCATGTTTATTGATAGATCCATCTCCAGAAAGAGGTCAATTAACTTGTTACACTTTAATATGTGGGCTTTGGATTAGGTGAAATTATACAAGTGTGAATTCTGCTTATTAACTCTTATAAAAGAATTCCCAAGTCCTGCCACTGTTACCTTCTCTATAGTTCTCAAGTCAGTCCCTTTCTCAGCATCCTTTTTACTCCTGTCTAGCTCAAAACTGAATATGCTCCTACCTGGATGACTGTGGCAGCTGGTCCCCCTGCCTCCAGGCCCTGGTGAGCCAGGGTGAATGCCCAAAAGCCCAATCTGACCATTCACTGCCCAGCTTACAGTCCACTAGTGGCTCCCTCAGCTGTTGAATCCAGTGTTTCCAGCCCTTTAGTCTGCCCTGTGTCACAGCACCTCCTGCCCGCCCACTGTTCGTGAACCTGCCTGCTCAGAGCCCTGGCTCGGAGGCGTGCTGCCTCTCGCCCCCGTGTGTGTGTCCACGCTCTGTCCTCGCCCTGTCACATCCTTCTCCACCCCACGTTTACCCAGCTGACCCCCCTTCCTCCTCTAAGACTGCTCAGTCAGGCGTCGGCTTCTCCAGGAAGCTGTGTCTCTAGTGGCCCTCCCGCTACCAGGCCAGCCACCTCCCCTGGGGTCTCCACAGCATCTCGCTGGGATCACCTTCTTCGTCATGCTCATCATACTTGTCTCTCAGTGTTCCTGGTGTTCATTCCTCTGGCCACCCAGCAAAGCAGGGATCCCTGGAGCAAGGGGAAAAGCCTCACAGCAAAAACTCTCGGCGCGCCTTGGCCCCATGCTCCGTGGCTCCAGCACGAGTGACAGCGTGGCTCTGAGTTAACTAGAGCTCTCCCTCCGAAGTCCTCCCACAGAGCAGGAAGGGGCCGTCTGCTGTAGCTGTCCCACCGCACCGCACCCGGTTTTTAGCTGTGTGATAGTCTATCTGTGGCTCTGTAATAGTTACAAAAGGGCCGAGCTGTTGAATCCTGATACAGGTTCTCCAGATGGTGTTCTGTCTCCTCTTCCCTCAGTGATGTGAATGCTCTCTCTGGAAAGGACGGATAAGTCAGAGGCTTCAGTGAGATGGTCAGGGCTGGAACTCTTCATCACTCTGACTTGCTTCCCTCTTCCTTGGGGGTCTGGTAAGAGTGCTGGGGACAGGCAGAGGACACACACAGCCTCCTAGCTCAGCACAGTACATGGGGGGGTGTTTGTAGTCACCTGACCCAAATACGCAGCCGTTCCGGACACGCGATGTGGGGTGATTAGTTTGTTTTCGTCCTATGATTGGTGTGCAGATGAACCACAGGCCTCCCCTCTGTGAGCCCGTACCATCCAGGGGATGGTGTGGAGGCTTCCTTCCAGAGGCTCCCGGGCCCCTGCAGACTGCATGTCACGTGTGCCATGTGTAGATTTGGCTCTTCCTAAAGAGTGCAGGACAGGTTTTTAATGGTGTCCCAGTTGTTCAGGCGAAACATGCTCTAGTATCTTGAGGTTTGGGTTTTGTTTTGTCAGTGACGAGCGGGAGCAGGTGGTATAGACAGTCCATGAGATCACTTATCAAAGTGGTCAGTGAACCCCGAAGCTTCGGGTCCACAGACCTCCCTAAGACCTTCTGGTCCTTTTTAGCTGCAGGCACTGGTGTCTGTGTCTGTCACGGCCAGGTGTCAGCAGTAAGGCCTCCTGGAGGGGGTGTCTCTGTTTGTCCTTCACAGCCCTGTGACCTTCATAGACGGCTCTGCTTGGTCACAGCATGGCCAACAGAGAGATCTGCATTGTTCTTCCGCACAGTGAGATCACCATCAAGGCTCTGACATTCTGAGCTGAATCCTGTAAAGATAAAAGAATACACACATACGCTCACGTCCATACATACAGATACATCCATTCATGTGAGATTCACTTCTCAGAAACAAGTTATATATTCACAGAATGATTAGCTTTCAGCTAAAAATTCTAACACTTTAGTACCACGATTTAGAATCAGGCTAAATTTGTCAAATGACGGAAAGCGAGGTTTTTCAGAAATTATTAGCTAATTTTTTCAATATTGAATTTATAGTCAGAAAGTATATCATAATGATGTTTCCAGGATAAAATACCAGCAGCTTAACTTTTCTGGCCACAAACGTACAGCATGTATCAGTTTCTTTTTGAAGATCTGAAGAATTAGCTACTGTAAATAAAGTTTCCAGGAAGATTTCTCTGGGAAAGAGGTGAACTTACAGTAATATGGGTGATATGTTATTAATAACTATGACCAGCCACTGCTTCAATTAAAAGGACAACGGATGAGAAGGGCTAATAGAAAGGATATGCTGAATTGTAATCTCACAAGCACTGAAGTCTGCAGAAAAGACAAGAAGGAGTTGTTTCTGAGGCTGGTAGGAGGAAGCCTCTGGGTAAGAGACGTCGCCAGCTGCTCCTTGGTCTGGGAATGTTTACCGAGCTCTGACTACACGTCTCTCTGGAGCAGTGCTCCTTTGGTTGCCAGTAATGGAAACCAACTTCAAAATAGCTTAAGGAGAAAGAGGACTTTCTTGGAGGTCCACAGGGGTCTCCCTGAACCCAAGGACAGCATGAGCTGATGGGCCAGGGAGAGCGTCACATGGGAGTGAGGACGGCGGGCACCTATGTCTCCACTTAGAGGAGGGAATCTGATTGGCATGTTTGGCCCAAAGGACAGGCACAGGGGGTGCGGACACAACTGCAGGTGGCGTGATACGGTAAGCAGGTTTCTTTGACGGGCCGAGCACTGTGGGAGGCCACGTGAGAAACGTGCCTAGGAATGTATCCCACGGAGGTGCCAGTTGAGCTAAAGTACCCAGCATTGGCTGACCTTTTGGAGACAGGATAATGAGAGGGGACATCCCAAGCGTGGGCAGGTGGGTATGTGCAATGCCCTGGGCTGGCATGTGGCATCTGAGAGTGGTGAAGTGAGGTGAGGCTAGACCAGGAAGCAGTTCCAGAAATGACAAGGTTGCCCTGAAGGTGGTAGGAAAGGGTTACAAAAGCATTTGGGTCTGGGGGTGGTTTGTGTGTTCAGGGGGTCAGACCCCCTGAGTCAGTCTGCTCTGTGACGTGCCAGCTTTCCATGGCAGCCTTTAGAGCAGCCTCTCCACGCCCCCCGCCGCCCCCAGTCCACCCGTCCTTCCAGGGTGGAAGTGACCGGAGGCCTTGGGCCTTGGGCCTTGGGAGCAGCCTCCACGCGGGATCACATGACCAGGACTCCCCCTCCCAGCAGGAGCCAGGCTACGGAGAAGCTGGTAATAGCGCTACCATCGGCCTTCCTCCTTCCTGTTGCTCAGTTATTTGACTTTAAGCACAGTTCTTTTTAGAGAAATAATTTGGAGTTAATTGGCCTTCTGCCTTAAAAAATACCACCTTTTCCATGCGACTATTATGTAGAAATAGTTCTGTAGAGCTTTCCTAATCTGGCGTCCCCGGAACACCCTTCAGAGTGGAATGGGACATAACTAGCCGTTTGATCTGTTGTTTACTGCCTGCTCTCTCCCCACCTGTGATGAGAAGGTGAACGACTCCTGGGAAGAGTTGCAGCCCTGCAGCCTCCACTTGCTCTCGCTGGAACTGAAATGACAAGGGGAGAGGAGAATACGGGGGGCCTCCCCCAAGGTAACCCGCCAGAGCCCCCTCAACCCTGCCTTTTCTCTCTCCCTCTAGGTCACGCGATATTTAAACTCACGTATCTAAGCAATCACGACTATAAACACCTCTACTTTGAATCTGACGCTGCTACCGTCAATGAAATCGTGCTCAAGGTGAGTGTTCCTTCTTGGCCCAGACCCGGCGTATGCAGGACCGGCTCCCCCCCAGCACTGCACGAGGCTCCCGGGCCGGTTTTGCAGGGTCACTGCACTGCCTACGGGCCACCCGGCTGGTGAGCACCCAGGCCTGGGCCACACCGCAGGTCAGCTGCTCTGCACCTGCTTCAGCCAGCCAGGACCCCCTTCAGCTTCCTCCCAGTCCCCCGATAATCCTCCTTCTTCATTCTTTTTACGTGTTTATTCATTCTTTTTACGTACCATTTATTTCCCTCCAACCCCACTCAGGAGCTCCTTGAGGTTCCTGGAACAGACTCTGAGGAAATTATGGTTATTGTTTGAAGACACCTTAAAGTAATCACGATAATTAACCTGTTCTAAACATCCCGGCTTGATGCTAGAATTGTCTGTTACCATATCTCAATAGTGCTCACGGAGCACCTTCTGTGTGCCAGGCTAGTACTCAGGATACTGCAGTGACAGACCCAGTCCCTGCCCTCAGCAAGCTTGTCCTCTTTCAGAGGAAAGAGACATTAAGAAAATTACAGAGAGGGACTTCCCTGGTGGCACAGTGGTTAAGAATCCACCCACCAATGCAGGGGACACGGGTTTGAGCCCTGGTCCAGGGAGATCCCACATGCTGCAGAACAACTCAGCCTGTGCACCACAACTACTGAGCCTGCACTCTAGAGCCCACGAGCCACAACTACTGAGCCCGTGTGCCACAGCTACTGAAGCCCACGTGCCTAGAGCCCGTGCTCCGCAACAAGAGAAGCCACTGCAATGAGAAGCCCATGCACCACAATGAAGAGTAGCCCCTGCTTGCCGCAACTAGAGAGAAAGCCTGCACACAGCAACAAAGACCCAACACAGCCAATAAATAAATATTTTTAAAAAGACTGTTAAATAAGTCACAAGGTGCCCCATCGGTGTGTAAAGAGTAAACTGACTTGGTACAGGGGGTAGGGAGGCAGGGAGAGCTGAGCCCTGAAGGATGGATGGAAAAGTACACATTTTACCAGGTGAGGAGAGAGAAAAGGCATTTCACAGAGAGAGCAGCCTGTAGTGGAGCAGAGAAGCAGGGCGAGTGCGGTGTGGCTGGGAGGTTGCACCCAAGCCTGTGTGTCTGGAGCAGAGAGGTTGCAGGGGCCAAGCCACACAGAATCTTGCGAAGTGGGGTCGGACTGAGAAAAGCTCCTGTGGGGTCTCATTGGTTCAGGAAATATGGGTCAGGGCCCGAGATTCTGTGTCTCTAAGAAGCTCTCAGGTGCTGCAGAGGATGCCGTCTGTGTACCACACTCTGAGTAGCCCTGGTCTAGTGATTTGCAGACTCTTCCAAACTGAGAATCCTTTCTCCAGGCCAAATCTTACGTAGAATGACCAGATAGAGAAAACAGAACTGCTTTGGCAGAACAGAGCTTAAAGCCAGAGGGGGCTCCTCCACCCCTGGTTGTGTGTGACTCTGACCAGTCACATCACCTCCCTGGGCCTCAGTTTCTCCTCCTGTAAAATAGGGATCATGGTACCTACCCTGCCCTACCCCACCATAAGGCTAATATTAGCTGCTAGAGCAAATATTAAATGGTACGGGGAAGCTACCTAAGTGATTATTCGTTCTCTTCTTAAGAGTAGATGTCATCAAGTAATAGTAATAAAAGTACTAAGATACACTGAGGGGTCACAAAGTGCAGGACCTGGGCCAGGCACTTTACCTGTCCTGTCTCAAGGAACCTTCACACCTCTGTGAGGTCATTCCCATTTTCTAGATGAAAACTGAGGCTCAGGAAAAAAGTAACTTAGCCAGGGTTGTGACAGGCAGAACCAGAACTTGACCCCGGTTTGGCAGATTCCAGAACTTGTGTTCCTAACCTCCCAGGTGTGCATAGACTTAAGGAGCTGAACAGGAGATTTCGATGAAATGGAATTGTTTCACAGAAACGTTTTGAGGCAAAGTCCTCATGGCTTCAAAAGATTTTCAAAAGTAGTAGATAAGAATTAAAAGAATAAAGCTGCTAGGAGGACAGTTTAGAGCCAAGACAGAGTAGCGTGACCAGTTGGATGGAAAGCAGAGGGTTCATAGACCACCCCGGATCGGAGCCCCTTGGAACAGGCAGGGGACAGTGCCCACCTGGAGTGCCTGAAGGCAGCGAGCTAAGAGTTACCGGCCAGCGCATCCCCCGACGACCCAGGGAGCGTGTGCCGCACTCCGGGGCCAGGTGGAGAAATATTCCATTACCCCGTCAGGGCTGGCCTTTTTTTTTTTTTTTTTTTAATTTATTTATTTTATTTTTGGCTGCATTGGGTCTTCGTTGCTGCCTGCGGGCTTTCTCTAGTTGCAGCGAGCGAGGGCTACTCTTCGTTGCAGTGTGTGACCTTCTCATTGCGGTGGCTTCTCTTGCTGCAGAGCACAGGCTCTAGGCTTGCGGGCTTCAGTAGTTGTGACACACGGGTTCAGTAGTTGTGGCGCACAAGCTTGCTCCACAGCATGTGGCATCTCCCCGGACCAGGGCTTGAACCCATGTCCCCTGCATTGGCAGGCGGATTCTTAACCACTGTGCCACCAGGGAAGTCCTGGCCTTTTTTTTTGTAGCCAGCATTAAAATATTCAAGGACTTTACTAGAAGGATTCTAGTAAAATTATAATCCTGTGTTTGACATCAAAATAATTTTCACAACAGCAGATTGATGACAGAAACACAGGTTTATGACTTCACTGCAAGACTGTGGAAGAACAAGTGCAGAGAAATCATTTTCCAGGACCAAATGCTCCCTCGAAGCAGATGCTTTTCTGCAAAATCCCCAAGGCCTATCGCCTTTCCTAAAATGTCTGTTTTCATATGAAAATGCTTGTAGAAATATTACATCATGCACAAGACTCCAGGAGAAGTCCCAGCCTGATTTATTTAGAGAGCTATGATCGCGATCCTGATGGAAGATTAAATTTCACGTCTCCGATCTCTGATTTTTAAAGCAGTTTAAATACTTAGCCCAATCTGCCATTCCCAATGTCTTCGTGGGGCTTTGCACCAACACCAAGTGACTGAGGCCCCACTTGGTAGAAATGTTGCCATCAGAGGTTCTTCTCATGTCGGTCTTAGACGCAAGTAATACATGTGGTGGTTCTAGAATTGAGGAGTTTCACATAAAATAAGAGCTTTAGACTGAAACTTTAGACGAGCCACAGCTTGGGCTCTGACCAGTGTCTGCAACTGAAAGGAGGAAATAAGGACCAGAGGCTAATGTCAAAGAAACTATTACAAGCAGGCAACTCTCCAAGTTATTTTTAGCTCGTTGTGTTTTTCCCCATAGGACCCATTTATTGGTCACCGACTGTATACAAGACATTTTATGTACATTACCTCATTTCATCTTTGCAACTGCCCTGCCCAGTGTAGACATTATTATCCCCACTTGATAGACGAGGAAAAAGAGGCCCAAGGCCACAGAGCACATACAGGTGAAGCCTCATCTTGAACCAAGCTGAGGAGTCCCAGACCTGCCCCGCCCCTTCCCGCCCGAGATGGGATTGAGCTAAGCCCTGCGTGGCCCCTAATTCTGCAGGCTTCGAGGTGAATCTCAGAGGAATCATTGGTCTCTTCAAATTGGGTTCTTCTCGTGATCGAGTGATGGAGCCTGTGACTTTATTGACCATGAAAATTCCCTGTATTTTTATGCCTTAAGCTGTAAAATGCACTGAAAGTGAGACACTCTATAGTGCATAAAACTGTGCAAGTCTTAAGCCACAGCATATTAACCAGCTAATGCAGACCAAAGAGCGTTTTTATCTTTTGACTATTACATTAATCTTCCATTAAAATTATCTATGTGATTATCACAAAGCACTGAAGATAATAAATTTAGGAAATAGTTGGCCTGTTGAGGATCATTTTAAAATGCTTTTGTCAAGTTACATGTGCCAAAAATACACTGAAAACAGTAGATTGGTTGAGTGTGCAAACAATCGAACCCAAAGATTGCTCTTATTAAGAAGGATAAACCTCTTCTTTCCAAGCATTGTCTCTAGTGTCCCAAATCGTCACCTGGCCCTGCAGGCCTCATGATTTATTGCTCTCAGCTGGTAACTTGGCGAGGCAGTGGGCCGAGCGCGTCAAGCCTTCTGTACTCACACGCCAGCCTTTAACGCCTGCTGCCGGCGACTATCAGAGCAGAAAGTCTGGAGGGGACACCGTGGCAGAGCCCCAGCCCCACGCGAGGCGAGGCATCCGCACCGCCTCCCCGGAGCGCCTCGGTTTTTTCTCAGTCCGCAGAGGCCTCTCCCGCTCCGGGCACGGGACACGTGGCCCTCAGAGTACAATCAACAGAGGGGGCAGCTCGTTTCTCTAGCCAGGAATATTCAGGGTTCTAGTCATAACTTTGAGATATTTGAGGTTGAAGAGAAACAGTGTTTGTTCTCAGAAAGGCCCAGCCAGAGGGCAGCTGGGGCAGTGGAAGGAGCCGAGTCTTAGGAGGTGAGGCGGTGGGGGCCTCTGAGGAGGCCCGGGGCCTGGAGAGCTGGTCCAGGTCCTGGCGCGTACTCTTTCTAGCTTTGTGACCTCGAGTAAATGACGTTATCATTTCTGTGCCTCAGTTTTCTCCTCTGTACAATGGGGATAACAATGGCAGCCATCTCCTAAGGCTGTTGTGAGGGTTAAATGACTCAATCCTTGAAAAGCACGCCGAACGCTGCTGCTGCTGCCACCGCCACCACCACCCAGCCAGGGGCTCATCCTCACACCAGGTGCAGGTCTTATCACGGCACTGCTGCCCTTCCCTGGCTCCTCCCTGCCTCACCTTGACTGATCCCTAAGCTTCTGCAGTTCATGGACACCCCCTTGCTGTGTTCCACGGCTGTGCCTTGATGCGTGCTGATTCTCCCCACCCCTTGTACACCTCAAACTCCTATTTGTCTCTCAAAACCCATCTCATTCATCCCCTCCACGAGCCTTCCCTGCCCCACATGTCCCCGATAGTTACTCTCCCCATTCCTTTCTGCTCCTTGTGTATCTGTTGTCACACTTGTTCTGTTGGACACTCACTAGGCCGTGAGGTCCTTGGGACAGGGACCAAGTCTTAATTTTCCCTCTGCCCTTTGAACCAAACATGGGGTGAGGCTCAGATAAGGCAGGTACTCAGTGCCAAAGGTGATGGTGACAGTGACCATCCAGCATGGGGGGAAATCTGAAAATACCCCAAGAGAACCAGGTGGGAGCAGCAACGTGGAGACCTGGGAGGCAGCTGGCTGTGCATCCTGCACAGAGTTTCCACGGCACCTCTCCCGGCTTTGACCCTGACCGCTCGGTGATCCGGGCAGCTTGGTCCTCTTCTCTGAGCCTCACTTCCCTTTTTTATCAAATGAGCCGTAGCTAGTGGGGTGCTTGTGAGCATTAAAATACCCCAGTTGGAACCTCTGTACCTGCTGGTGGGAGGCTGAACACAGAGCCTTGTTTTGGTTTGGTTTTCATCCCTGTGACGTCCTTGTCTTTCAGACAAGGGAAGAGGGGGCTCAGAGGAGTTATGTGCGAGCCCAGGGCTACACGGCAGGCTAGGGGCAGAACCAGGAAGCCCGGTACACAGGCTTCTTCTGGGAGGGACCACGGGCTCTGGAATCAGAAAAGCTCCACCACTGGCTGAAAGGCCTGTACCAGCCTCGTGTCTTCTCCAGGCGTGTTTTCCCGTTGTGCAGTGGGCTCTGGTCACAGCCTGCGGGGTTGCCGTGATGACTGGACGCCATGCACAGGGGGGCACTGGGCCCGGAGGGCGCCCAGCCCAGGGCAGGGCCCTTCCCTTGCTCGTCCCAGGCGAGCAGAGTGGCTGACAAGTGACGGGCTATGTTGTCTTGCTTTCTAGGTTAACTACATCCTGGAATCACGAGCAAGCACTGCCCGGGCTGACTATTTTGCTCAAAAACAAAGAAAACTGAACAGACGTACAAGCTTCAGCTTCCAGAAGGAAAAGAAATCAGGGCAACAATGACACCGGCCTCCAGCTTCAATCTGTTGCCATAGCTCAGAGCCTGCCTGCCAGGGCCAGGTGGCCCTAGAGCCCACCCTGTGTCCTGCAGTCCTCGGGAGGCCAGCCCTTGGCTCACGAGGACAGGGCTGGTGGGCTCTTGGGGAAGGGGGGCACCCCCCTAGAACAGAGCTGGGGACGTTGCCACGGGGCCGAACCCTGAGTGGTAATGGCTTTGATTAGCAGTGCCCGGGGCCGGACGACACCGAGAGGAGCCACAAGCTGCGCAGCCATCTTCGCTGCCTGGCGGCCCCGCCCGGAGATGTACACAGCCGTGCCCAGGCCCGGAGATGTACACAGCCGTGCCCAGACGCGTCCTTGCAACTTGATCAAATTTCTCAAAACAAACGAAGAACAAAAATGTACGGTTCTTTTTTTTTTTCTTCCTTTTAATAAACTCTTTATCATGGTTGGTATGATGGACCATTCTTTGGGGCAGAGGATTGATTATGTTATTCTCTTTAAAATCTGTTCCCATATTGAACAGGCAGATTGGAAAAGCTATGGCTCGATTTTTCAGAAGAAATGTTTAGGATTTAGTCAATAGTTTTAACTATGCCATTTGTTTAAATGAGTGCATTGCTTTGAGGATAGTATCTTACTAAAGTTAGGAAGGGGACCGAGTGATGTGTGTCCAAGGCTGCGCCATTTTCCCCTTCAGAAGCCTCCTCTCCTCGGCTCATCCCAGCACCTCTGATTTCAGGAAGGCAGGACTGCGTGTAAAGCTCGGGGCTCGGAGAAGTGGGGGTCACACTGAGCTCCCAGCCAGAAGTGGTCTCTTCTGTTTCCTAAATAACAAGTCTAAGTTTCAGCTGACAGTTGGACCCGCATGTGGATTTTTTCTGGACTCAGAAGAGTCTCTGCTGTGCTGTCTCAGAGGGGCCTTGGCTCCGTTTCTCCTCTCCTCACAGTGCCTGCCCCCTGGTCTGAGCAGGAAGGAAGTGCTGCTTTCACTGCATCAGAGACTGCGGGGCGGGAGGAGCTGCTGCCAGGGGTCCAGCTCCCAGGGGGTGGGGGGCAAGGAATCAGGTATCTGCTGACACCACCCCTCTGGCCACACCTGATGCCTCTGTGGTCCTCGCCAGCCTCTCCAGGGTCCCTCCCAGGGTGACGTCCTTTCGCACTGGCCCTGGCCAAGATGGTGGACTGAGGTTTCATTGAGGACCTGCATTTCAAAGTTTTTTAAATCATTGTACAGGAAGCGACGTGGCTGAAACAGCCTCTCACAGTTGAGGGTCCATTTGCACAGAGGCACCTAATGAATTCCTCTTTCATTCTGATCTTTGTCCAGCCAACAGAAGCACCCTTTTCTAATGTCTTCCATTCCTATCCACCCCAGAAACAAAAGACATATTATTTGTAGCTTGCTATCTGTATTTGAATTTTTAGCAATTTTATATTTAGATATCTTTGAAAAATGTAAATGACTAATTTGGTCATTAAATCTTGTGACATATTCAATATTAAAATAAAAATCATAAACACCTCCTTTTACGTATTTCTTTGAATTCTTGAAGCCTTGCGCACATACTGCTGAGGGCGGTGACCGCCATGAAGCACTCTGGGCGGTGACGTTTGCTAGCATTTGATGTGGTGCCGAGCGGCTCTGAAATGCACTGTGGGCCTCCTTTAATACTGAGCAAGACAGGATGACCCTCTTCACTCAAGGGTGACATTGAAATCATCACCTCCTTCAAGTACAAAATCAACACCTTTCTCATGTCCTGAAATACAGCACATGTGCAATTTACATGAAACACACACTTGAAGGAATAATTTAAGGGGAGCACTAACCACTGCCCAGGTCCACCAAATATCGAGACTGTTTAAATTCAGTTTTTCCTCGGCCCCTCTCACACCCGATACCTGGACTTTAAGGTAAGACTGTGAGCACCTCCCACCTGTCTCCCCAGGGCCCAGCTCCACAAGGCAGGAGCTCAGCACACCCAGGTTACACCCAAGTGACCCAGCAGGCCACGCCTCCACCTTCCAGCGAGTTTCCTGACCTGGCTCCAGTGTGGCCCCCACGGACCTGGTGGTAACTCAGGATGGGGACTTTGCCAAGTCTGGGTGGCCTGATGAGCCCTGGCCTCCGCTGGCCACTGAGCAGCCCCCAGCACCTGAGGGCAGGCTGGGTGCCGGCCCCTCATAAGTATGCACAGGCACAGGTGATCCCACAGCCAGCCTCTGCAGGTCCTGTCACTACCTCCATTCCAGGGTTGAGGACTTGGGGCTTGGAAGGGTCCCAGCTTCCATCTGGGACACAGCAAGAGTGACTGAACGGCAGCCGTGCTCTGAGCCTCTGGGCCCTGCCCTCCATGGCTAGCGGCTGCGGGCCTGAGCCGGGCACTGCCTTGCTGGGCCTCGGTTTCCTCATCTATAAATGCAGGTGCTGGAGTAGGTGGTCCCTGCAGACCCTTCTAGAGAATGTCTTAAATGTCTCAGAATCACAGTGAGCCCAAACTTCCTTCCAGTGGTTTCTGTTTTCCAAAACTTGCAGGAGCTGCTCTGCGTCTGAACAAGAAGCTAAGAGTTGAGGAATACTGTGAGCTCGGTTGGTCCAGCCTCCTCCCCGGAGCAGCAAATGTATGTTTCCTCCCAGGGTCTTTGGGCCTCAGCCTGCAGACCTCCAGCGACAGGGCGCACTGCCATTCAGGTCAGTGCTTGTGCTTGTTGGCCTGTTTGGTCCCCCTTGGCCAGGACTCCCCGGGCCTGTGCTGCCAGCCCTGCATGCCAGGTCCCTCTTCCCACCGGGCACGGCAGCTACCTCCTAACCCCTCTCCTCCCTGGTCCCCGGGACCAGTCTCCCCACTGCCTCGGGGGCCCCTCAGCTGTGTGGAGACCATGTTGACATCCGTCTGAGTCTTCTCTCCATGGGTTAAAAAGCTGGAAGGTTGTGCCCTCCCTTGTCATGTCCCTAAAGCCTGCCAGCTGCCCCTTCAGGTCCCTGGTTCCCCAGGTGAGGGACTGGGAAACGTTGGGACAGGGGGGAGCAAGGACCCAACTTGGTCATCACGACACTCACAGTCTGGTGAGGTCAAGAGGTGGCAGGTGACCCCCAGGCCCCACTGCAGTGAGCGCCATGCAAGCCCTGTGGGGACCAGCATGAGCCAGGTGAGTGCCAGGCACAGCGATGGGCGGTGGGAGCCTGGGGGCCTGAGGTGGGGAGGCAGCAGCCCTGCTGAGCGAGCAGTCGTGGCTTCTTGACGTGCTGTGGCCTCCCAGGGGAGAAGGAAGCCCCCGCCCCAGTGGCCCCAGGGAGGGAGACACTGTGGCTTCACCACCAGGCACGGCATCAACAGCTTTTGAGCTTCCCAGCTGGCGAGGATGGCGGCTGCCACGGAGGCTGAAGAAGGGGCCCCGAGACTGGGGAGGGGAGCCAGAGGTGGGGAGAAGGGGTCTGCGCCTCCGCCCTGCCACCCCCGGCCTGCTCCCCGGTACCCACATCAGCATCCCCGAGGGGCCACCATAGCCTCCATGGCAGCCCTGGCAGGACCGGCCCCCCGGCTCCTGGCACAGCTCCTGCCACCTGACTCTTGCCGGTGCTGCCAGGGCTGCTCTCCTCCTTCCAGAGGGAGGAACGGGAGGAAGAGAAGAAAAAAGCAGGGTCTTCCCCATCTCAGGGTCAGAGGGCTCAGGGTGCAGACCCGGGATCAGACCCCAGCCCCCCACACCCTGGCCTGTGAGCTGAGCCTCCTCCTTGGGCATAAGCAGCGGCATCCGTCCCAGAGCCCCGTGGGGATCAGTCGATCTGAGGACTGAGGGGCCCCTCCCAGGTGTGGGTCCCGATCCCAGCCCCTCCTCACCGGCCTCACTCGCTCCGGGTAAGGGGCTAACTCCTCTGTGCCGCGGGGTCCCTGTCTGTACGATGGGATGAAGACGCCAACTTGCAGGGCTGGAATCAAGACTCAGTGAAACAACATACGCACAGGGCCTGGTATGCGAACACCTGATAAACGGCCACATGATGTTGGCATCTGTCATCTTGCTTAGTCCGGTTGTGCGAACGCCGTGTTCTCCCCAGTGGTGCCCCCCCGAGGGGGGACCCGGCTGTGCCGAGCTGTCCCCTCCTTGAGTTCCAGAGTCCGCCAAGACCAGCTTCCTCAGTGCCAGGAAGGAGGGCACACAGGCGCCGGGCCTGGGCCCTGGGCCCCGGGCCCCAGGGACAGACGGCTTGATTCGGGGGCCCTGTGCTGCGAGCCTGCACCCCGTCCAAGTCCCAGAGTCAGACCCTGCGGCTCTGCCCACCCCGTCCTTCCTCACCAACTGATTCTGTGAAGCGAACACTCACTGAGTGCCCTCTTATGAGAGCAGACCCTGGGGTCGGGCAGATTGTGTTCAAATTCCAGCTCTCTCCTGGTTGGTGTGTCCTCAGATGAGCTACTTTACTTCTTTGAGCCTCAGTTTCCTCTTCTGTAAGATGGGGACAATAATACTTTCTTCAAAGGGGCCTTGTGAAGACTGGATGAGTTTACTAGGCAGGATGGCTGGGCTGCAGTGACACTAACAGCCCCAAGACCTCAGTGGCTTTAACACAGCACTTACTTCCCATCTCACAGAGTCAGCCGTGGTCCAGCCGCCTTCGGGCTTCCACAAAGGCGCAGGTGGGGGACAGAAGGGCTGGAGAATGGGCAGCAACAATGAGATACTGTGGTTCAAAAGTGGCACATGGGGACTTCCCTGGTGGTCCAGTGGTTAAGACTTCACCTTCCAATGCAGGGGGTGCAGGTTTGATCCCTGGTCGAGGAGCTAGGATCCCACATGTCTCGCGGCCAAAATACCAAAACATAAAACAGAAGCAATACTGTAACGAATTCAATAAAGACTTTAAAAATGGTCCACATCAAAAAAAAAAAAAAAAATCTTAAAAATACCCCAAAAAAGTGGCACACGGGTCCCTTCCCACCTTCACTCACATTTCATTGGCCAGAATCAGTCACCTGGGGGACAGAGAGGTGCGACCACCAGGATGGGAAGTCACAAATGTTGGGGAAACAGTCTCAATGTCTGCCACCATGAGATGACACTGTGCTTCCCAAAAGTGCCCATTCACAGGCCGCCCCAAGATAGCACCTCATCTACAGTGAAATATTTCCCCTGATACTGATCCAGGCTAATGCTGTTCTCTACCTTAAACTTCATCCGAAACAAGAATGGCCGTGGAGTCCCGGATCTGGCGTGCAGCACATGCGCCTTCTGGCGCACACTGAAATAAATACATCACTGTTTGAATTGAAAACATCCACCCACACACCGCTCAGATCACATCGTGAAGGACCACAGTCACACCTCCCACACTGGCGAAGGTGAAGTTAAGTTGACGCTGTTCTTTTATCAGTGCCTCTTATTAAGCTCTCAGAATAGGTTAGTTACTTTTCTATTAACCGCTTTCTCAGTCCATCCACATGCCCACCTAATCCCCATTTTACACATGAGGAAATGGAGGCAAAGAGAAGCCTCCTCTGAGGCCATGCAGCTGGGAAGTGATGGAAAGGCTGTCCCGCCTCCCACCTGCTCCCCGCCCCCCATCAAAACAAGCTGTCCCCAACCTTGCTGGGCCTCCATCTCGGCTGATGTGGCCCAAATGCCCTTGATCCTGAAGGTTCCCTGGAGGCCCCGCTGGGAGGATCCTGCTCTTTGGAAAGGCAGCCAGGAGAGGGAAAGGGTTAAGCCTGTCATGTTGTGTTCCCACCAAACACCTCTGCTTAAATGCAAAATCCCAACAGGGTGGTGTTTGCTATAAAAGCCCTAAGAGTGATTTGTGAAGTCTGGAAGGCCTGTAATCTCGTCAGCGTAATGGGATTATATTTCAAATCACCACGGCCTGTTCATTACCCATTTAAACTCCTCTGACAGAGGAAAACTTACATAAACCGTGCACGGCAGCCCTTGCCGACTTCCCCACTCTCCTTCCTGATTAGACAAACAGATGCTGAGGTCTGGAATGAAAAAATAATGTGCCCATTTATTCATTTTTCTGACAAGTCACAGTAGATTTTTAACTGCCAATGAGTGACCTCCCGGAGGTGCTGCGGCTGGGAGGTGGCCTCCAGGCAGGGAGTGGTCATTTCCTGGCCTGGCTGGCGATGTCTCCTGGGACCAGAGCTGAGCCAGGCTGAGCCCCTCTTCTTGCCCTGGCCTGGCTGGGGCGGGGGACTGTCTCTGGGCCTCTCAGCTCTCACCACCCAGAGGGGGCCGGGGACCTCCTCAGGGTGACCAGGACGCAGCCACAGCCTGAAGTCATAGAGCCCCAGCAGGAATCCTGGCCCTGCCTTGGTCAACCAGGTGACCGAGGACAGCTTTCAACTCTCTGAGCCTCAGTAGCCCTGTCTGTAACGTGGAGAATGTAAGAGAGCTCATCTCGGAGGTGCGGGTTCAGGGTGCAGCTCCCACCCCAGGTTCCCGGGGACGGCATCCAACCAGCACCACCAGCTGTGCCAGGCCCTCCCTCACCGTGACCTCTGGCGGGTGGGGTTTTGCTAGTCAC